GCCGGCTCCCCTTAGTCTAGTATGGGACGTACGCCAGCAGTAAATAGAGGTGAAAAGATTTCAGGGGTTATTCGGGAGAACGACCTCCAAACACCTAGAAGGTATTTTACAGTTGCGAACTTCAATGGTACCGGGGCGTTCTAAGTTCAGACGACAACCGCCGTCGCCGTGTTAATGTGGTTTATACTAGACGCATTTTAATTGGAGATTTGTGGAAGGTGCAGTAGTTCTTCCAACTCGACGTGGATTGTTCCACACTTTGCTACAGCTTGAACCTATTTAAACCTCAGAGAAACCATGTCAGGTCCGATGCCGGGTTATCCACACTGGATGTGAAGGAGTGGAACAATCTCCATGAATGTGTGGTAAGTGGCCAGACGGTGATAATTATTTGAAGATCGATTGGACAAGTATATGCTGAGCAGGCCTTGCTTTCGCCGTTGTTGCTGTAGTGGTAGCAAGCCAAAGGGAAACACAGTTTAGCAACGACGCGTGTCATCCAGCCAATGAACGCGAGGTGACTAGGTGACACGGGCGTTACCTTCCGGTTTATACAAATCTATGAACTCGTAACCGAATTGTATACGACATTCCGCTCTTATTTCTTCTCACACCTTGGTATTAACACTATGCACTTGACATTACTCCTCTGTTTCCTTAGCTTACTCTTCACCTTTTACTTTACATCAATCGGCTTAGCAGGGACTGCTGAGCAGGGAAATGTGGGCAGCAATTGGTCGGATAGGGTGTGCTGCGGTCTATTTTAGAGTTTGAAACATCTCAAGCACACCCATCAATTCCTGATAAAACAATACGCAAAAGTAGAATCATGCTTGGTATTATCCAATCGTTCCGGTCCCAATGGCACCGCAAGTTATGTGATGTAGTTGGATCAAAAAGATCGGTGGGTCTGAGACCCTTAATGATTTTGTACCTCTCCATTATTTCACCACTCAATCTGGGTATTCTCATTGAAAACAAACCTAAATAAGCTAACCGATCATAAGATAAATCAATCTGCGCCACTATCATTCGAGTGGCCAGACTTCGCACACCCTTAACTGATCAGTACCTGACGTGCTTCGACCCTCGCGCAGACACGTTGATCCAAAGGCTTCATGAATCAATTGGTAAACACAACCCGCCAGCTTCTCTCTTGCTGTGGTCATTTTATCAATGTTTAAATATGTCAACAAACAGTACAGCCTAGCCTACTGACTTGCGGTTGCGGAAACACGTAGTTGTTCCTAATATAGGGTATTGCGGGACAATGCCGATGCCATTAGCGCAGGCGAAGTTCAACCCTTACATCTTATCTACATCTTCGTTCCTTGTATTCAGCTTTACTTATACCACGTTCCAACTTCCTGACCACTGGTTCCGTGGAAAAAGTATGAGGTTTATGACCTTTGAGGTACTCCTAGTAAAGGCATCTTACCAGACCTAAGCCTTGCATAAGATGTTAAATGCGTTTGTCGCTGCTGATACATCCAAGCTTAACATTAGAATTGTCCAAAACTGTCTAAATGCCATCTTTAGATGAACCTTTACCTATCCTCGTAGATGTCGGTTGCTAGCTGACTCTTATTGATGCTTTTTCATTAAGCCTGTGTACTAGCCACTGTACTCAGTTGTTGTGGAGTTCTCCGAGCTGGGCGACTGGGTTGCAGACGTTTCGCCACCATTCGTAGTGGCATCTTCAGTGCGGGATTGATAGCAGGGAAGTAGCAGTAGCTGGTAGAAAGCAAACCCAATAATGGATACTGTCAGTAATCACTCCGTTCCTTATATAGACATACGGGGCTATTAATTTTGCCTCCATCTCATTGGTGAATCTTTGTGTTCAGCGGTTGTGCTCGAGTCATTGTCATTGGCTGCGGAAATGTTGTTGCGACGTGGTTGGGCTTATCGCACTCGGATTGGTGCAAGAGGTGCGGGTGAGTAGTCTGGGCTCATATTGACCATGCGGTTCATTGTGCTTGTGTTGGATTAGGTTCTTTCGGACAACCACTGTTGATCCTCTTGAACTCTCTCTGTCTCAGTGGTTGATATATTGGAGCGAGGTCGATATGCATGTTGATTGAGTTCGTGGTTGAGAACCAGGCTTCGAGAAACTCCCTCCTTTTTGTGTTTCTCCTCCGGTTAAGATCTCCACCTTGTTCCAGTCCAACCTGTGCCCTCTTCATCCACGTGTGCTGAAACCAATGCGGTTGCGTAGTGCTTCTTGAACGCTCTTTGGTGTTCATGTATCCTGGTGGACAACTTCCTTCCTGTTTGTCCCACATGGTGCTTTTCACAGTTTGCGAAGTTTATTCTATATACGACAATCCGTCGTTCTAGTGCCTCTCGCTTTCCTTTTGGTTTTGACAATGCTTTCCTCAGAGTGGCGGTTGGCTTGTGGGCTACCATGATATGATGTTGTTTGAACAATCTGGCAGTCATTTCAGACACGTTCTTTATGTATGGCAGAACAATACGTTTTGTCATAGCTGACGAAGGTTCGGATTTTTTGTCAAAAATGAAAAGTTCTAGGCCAAAGAATCAGATATTTTGCTCTCCACTTGTATTCCCTTGGCCTAATATACCTAGCTTTAGCTAGTATATACATGCCTTTCACTATTGGCAACACCAGTAGACAGGCATAATGCAAAACATATCCACTTCTTAGCTGCTTTAGATAGTAAAACCGTGGCATTTCCAGATTCCGTTTCACTGGTGCGAAAGCTAAGTAACGACAAAGAGGTCCCTGTCACACTGGCTAGCTTGACTACCAGAAACCTTCCATCCGTCCGTGTGTTATTTATCTTACAGCTGGCTCCAAAGCCTACCATGCGTTTTGCGTAATGGTGGGTGAACGACCAGCTCCCTCTGGTTTTTGTTACAATGCTACTGCTGACTCACCTTATCATATTTTGCTTAGGGTGCTAGAACAGCTCTTGCCAGGATAACTACAAAGGACATAGCCAGTGTGACAGCGTAGTAATAGTTAACACTGCCATCTGGATGAACACCGCTTGCTTAGGAAGTTAAAATTGGAGAGAAATATCTCGGAATTCATCATAGAGCTGCCCAATAGTGTGCATCAACACATGAGGCATAACAATCCCTCATGTTTGGTCAAGCACAGTTCTCAGAACTAGAGTTGGTAACGCCCCATCAGCGCAGATCAAAATTGCTTCTACGCCCCCTAAGCAATTTTCTAAATTTTATTAAATTTTCACATACTAAATTTTTTAATTATTATTGGCAGGCTCATCTAGCTCACGGCTGTTGGAGACAGCCTCATGAATATAGAAAATCGCCTCTAAGGGATAAAACTTGCGATGTTTAGCTAAGAAATGTGTGTATTTTCCTGGCAAAATGTGTCAACAGATTCGAAAGTTCTCCTGTGTTACTTTGGTAGAGCTGGCTCATGCGGCCTTGATATAACCTTCAGAACCACTTAAAGGCTTAAAAAATACTAAACGCTATATTCCTAGTCGTCTATGTGGCTCAGTATCCACTGAAAATGGCATGCGGTGGCCTTCTAACCGTGGGTTACTTATAAGCTCTCCTGAATTCCCATGCAGACATAATATTCCTTGCTGGATTTCTAGTGTTTTCGCGCAAAATTATAGCTTATTTGCGTATATTCGCCATGTATGTCTGCAGTGAACTTTTCGGTCACCTACGAAATTCCAAGTTGTTACAGGGTATTCCAGACTATTTAGAGCATTTCTAGATAGCTACGCCTATTTAGAAAGGATACCGCCTCACTACCTTTTACATATTCTTTCCTTTTTTCTGCTATTATCTGGCAAATTGGAAAGCCGTTTTTAGCGAAAATGAATAAGGGCGTTAGTCGTAGACCATAATTTAATTACAAATAACTCGCAAACTACTGCACGTATTGCGTTGTTTTACTTTCAACGTACTCAGCGGTTAGAACAGGTTCTGAGCAGCCTACTTTTTGATACTTCACGCGTATTCTAGCTATAGGAAAGGTAGTTCCTGTTCTGAGGTTTACACAGGTTGAAGTTTCGCGCTAGTAAGCAATATCAGCGCAAGGAAAGTATGGCTATATTATATTGTTAATTAGTATTTTTCTAGTGAAGCAAGCCGCCCTACTATGTCTCTTAACAACTTTTTATTTTATTCTGCATTTCTGAAAATTATTTTTAACTTTTCGTATCCCTTAGAATTCCGTCACTCCCATTGCTTCCACGTAAGCACCAATACTTGTGGCAGCTGAGCGAGCCAAATAGTTCCAACAAATTTAAAGTGCAGTTGTAGTGAGTAGGATCCTGTTCCAAAGAAAAACGGCACAACCACAGCTCCGCACAACTTTCACAAAAAGGAACAAGGTGCTCAACATGGTCTAAAGGAACCAGAAAAATTTCAAGGTGGGCGCCTACGACCCCATCAGCTGTACACCAAACAATTCCAATGCATTTGTAATTGCCAACCAGAAACACATACTGGTATTTTGCCTGCTTCCATCAAAGGTTGTAGGCTTAATGTAAAGATAGATCTGAACAGTCAAGGGTGCAGCCTATAGACCATCTAGAAATATACCTATTTTTCTATTTATTTATTTATGTCCTTCTGCAGGTAGGTTTTCCTAAACACAGTATTTCGGATGTGGTCTAACCACAGCTTGAAACAAGGGGAGGAAGAGCTATCACTTGATATAAATCTGAAGCCTCCAGTCACACTGTATTAGCCGCATGCCTGCACTACGCCGAAGGGTTAAAGTAGCTTGAGGCATCCGTTAGTCTCCTATAATTTCTGTCACCCGCGATATAACATTTAGCCTGTGGCAACATGTGAGTTTATATAAGAACGAAAGAAAGGTATGAATGTGCAATTAACATCAACGTTTTTGGTTGTTCTGATGCTTAAGATAAAAACTGTACTCGGACTTTCATTCGAGAAACGAAAGGAATTAGAGATGGCTGATTTCCACTCCTCCCTCAGCACAATTATGGTTGCCCAGCAAATATGAAAGGCAAAACAACCAACAAGGACGTTTATTCGAATGCCACATGACTTAACATTATGACCGATCGCAGAAGTTTCTAGAAGTGAAATTAGAAACAGAAGCTTGGCTTACCGAGGCAGGAGACCATCTCGTACAGCTAATCGGTTTATGCATTCATCACTCTCACCCTGTGAAATGTTAGAAGAAAGACAGCGACTTACCATGCGTCGTACAGCACCGGCGATATCGTAGGATTTTATTCCATTTGTCATGCGACCAGTAATAGAGTCCAACTCCACGAACCGCAATTGTATTGAAGCATGATCTTTAACTCCAATAAGCCGATTTGTTACAGCACAGCGTCTCGGAATATACAAATCAACAAAGTCACCTGCGTCGTTCTGCATGACAACTTGTGCTTCGGATGGAGACCCGGGAATTAGTCGGAAAGAAGCAAACGGAAAGATTGCGGCTGAGATTAATGCATACATTAACGTGATACAATAATTATTTTTCAGTTGACCCAAGAAGCCTTAGCCTACCTGTATCCCAAATAACACTCGCCTTGCGAGTTTTGTTGTGCCATAGGCTGTAAAGGCGTCAAGTCCAAGTTGCAGTTCAAGTTCGGGTAGGACACAAACGATAGGAGAATCCGTGATTGTTCCAACTTGCGTGGACCGTTGAGCCAGGAATTAGGAAGTGCACCGAGTTATTGATGGACGTAAAACGGAACACCCGTATCGCACCCTGGCCAACCAGTTACTGCTTACGCTTCCCGCCCTGCCACTCCCTGCTGTAGCAGTCACGTGAAGTAAGGAAAAAATAGGAAGAGAAATCGAAGGTATAGAAAAAGAAGTTAACCTGTAATAACAAAATAATACCAAGGTATAAAGCAAAGTAGAGAAGACAAGCCAAGTATGGTGTTGCGCGTCAGTCAGGAAAGGGGAAAGGTTTCGGATTGCCCCTCAAGAGCGTCAAGTTGCCGCCCAAGCTCCGTAACCGTAGGTTCCCTGATAACACTTTCCGGAAGCATGTTCCAATGATCGTTGACACGGCGTGACGGCCAAATTTCCGTCCTAATCCGGTCGGACGGCGGTTCGACCAGAACGACTGGAAACTCCCGTGAATGTACCTTCATTTGCGTTCGCTGGATCGGGAATCGAAAGAGCTACTTGCCACGTTAAAATCCTAAAACAAAGCTTGCACCACGCACCGGCCAACCAATTACTGCTAACATTTTCTTGCCCGGTAGAGTCTGCTAGGTCTGTTCATGTGAAGTAAGAAAGCGAAGGGTAAGCTAGGAAAAAAGAGATGTCAGCTAAATAGTGATAATACCAAAGGGCGTGAAGAAAATAAAATCGTGCGGAAAGCAGTGTACAATACGGTTAGGAGAAGGAGCAGCTTCGGTTTTACCACCCAAGAGCATATAATTGATGCTTGAGAGCCACGACCGTAGACATCCTAACGACGCGAGTTCCATCGTTCCATAACTCTGGGAGGGAAGCGTGTTTCCGTTCTTAACCGGACATAACCCAGTTTGTGCAGCCTAAAAGGGTGACCACAGAGACTATTTAGATGTGATCTCTTCGTTGGCAGTGGACTAGACGGTTAACGTACCTACATGCTTCAGCAGGCAGATAAAACTGCCGAAGCTCTGTCGGCAATGATCAGCACTGCCTCCGTTCTACTTACAGTTGTAATGGTGTATAGCAGCCCTAGGAGTGCGTCCAAAGAGGTGCTTTATTTTATTTGCTCCCAATCTGCAAACATGTGTTTCCTACTGGAGCACTTCAATCCACCGAAAGTTTGCTGAGCAGGT